GAAGAGAGAAGGCAGAAAATAGGGGAGGGGGCAAATATGGGTTAATTGGACCCATAAAATGAGGGAAATTGAAAATGCAGTGATGGCAGGGGGGTTAATATATAGTTACATATGCGGCAGCACTGTGTGAACCTCTGGCTGTAGTCTTCATCTCGTTAGAAATAGGGGAGGAACTCCCGGACATTTGGACAGTGGCAAATGTGGTACCTGTATGGAAGACAGAACGAAGATTATGAGCCGCTGAACCACTGAACGGTATCACTAACAAGTGGAAGGTACAATTGCTCTCCAATTGTACGTTGGATTCAATTGCTGAATCCATGTTGATGCTTGAGCCAAGCATCAACATGGCTTCAGTAAAGGAAAATCTTGGCCAACTTGCAAGTTTCTGTGAGAAGATGACAGTCAAACGGGATAGCGAGAGCTGGGCTGTCTGCATTTTCCTGGATTGTCGGAAAGCTTTTGACACTGTTCCTCACAGAGCGACTCCTGTGCAAACTGGAGGAGAACAGGCTGGTGTACACTGGGAAAAGTTCTGAAGTGGGTGAAGGAGTACCTTCCAGAATGAAGCCAGAGTGTCATAGTAAGAGGAGAGCTATGGGAATGGAGAGTGGGATAAGGAGTGGAGTACCTCAATGGTTGGTAGAAGGGCCCAATCTGTTCTTAATTCTGGCGATGAGTCACAATAACGTGGCTAAAGTATGTTGACCAGACCACACACTAGAAGGTGAAGGGACGACGACGTTTCGGTCCGTCATGGACCATTCTCAAGTCGATTGGCCAACTCACTATCCTGGACCATTCTACAATCGACTTGAGAATGGTCCAGGACGGACCGAAACGTCGTCGTCCCTTCACCTTCTAGTGTGTGGTCTGGTCAACTGTTCTTAATATATGTACACGGTCCAACAGAGAAAGTAAGCTCATTCTTAGCCATACTAAGTCAGCGAGGCCAATCAGCACTCAGCACTGCTGTATAATACAAGATGAACTCCACAATTTCCATAGATGGTCTGAGAAATGGCTACGAGACTTTAAACCTTACAAATGCAAGGCTACGAGGATAGGAGTTGGAGCAAAAAGACCTGGGGCCAGATTCACGAAGCAGTTACGGAAGCACTTACGAACCAGAACATCTTTTCTTAATCTTTGGCGGCTTTGTTTACAATTATTAAACAGTTAATGAGCTCCGAAGCACCAGGAGGCTGTTTATAACAATAGCAACAGTTGATTGGGAAGTTTTCATGCTTGTAAACTATTTAATAAATGTAACCAAAGCCGTCAAAGATTGAGGAAAGATGTACACGTTCGTAAGTACTTGAGTAACTGCTTCGTGAATCTGGCCCCTGCAGTACATCACAGGATGAAGGGAAGGCTGCTTCCAACTTGTGAAGAAAGACTTAAGGCTGGACATAAGTCTTAGATCTAACTAGCACACTAAGGGGAGGGTAGAAATAGCCTAAGCTACTCTATCCCTTTGAAATGTGTTATTTTTCTTGTCCCAATAAGCACACTTGACCTTGAACAACACACACACACACACACACACACACACACACACACACACACACACACACACACACACACACACACACACACACACACACACCTCAGGTAGGGGCCTCGTAGCCTGGTGGATAGCGCGCAGGACTCGTAATTCTGTGGCGCGGGTTCGATTCCCGCACGAGGCAGAAACAAATGGGCAAAGTTTCTTTCACCCTAAGTGCCCCTGTTACCTAGCAGTAAATAGGTACCTGGGAGTTAGTCAGCTGTCACGGGCTGCTTCCTGGTGTGTGTGTGTGTGGTGTGGAAAAAAAAAATAGTAGTTAGTAAACAGTTGATTGACAGTTGAGAGGCGGGCCGAAAGAGCAAAGCTCAACCCCCGCAAAAACACAACTAGTAAACACACACACACACACACACACACACACACACACACAACAGAATAATGAAATTGTTTGAATAGATTGAAATAGCCTAAGCTATTTCGATAATCTAAGCCAAGAATCGACTTGAGAATGGTCCAGGACGGACCGGAACGTCGTCGTCCCTTCACCTTCTAGTGTGTGGTCTGGTCAATATACTTCAGCCACGTTATTGTGACTCATCGCCTGCATGGAATATACTGCCACAGTATACCTAAACAAAACAAGAACAAGTCCCCAAAAATATGCTTCATAGCTCGTCGTTCGTGAGCTATGAAAGAAGACTGAGGGAGCTGAACCTCACTACACAGGAGGAAAGAACGAATGGAGAAGAGATGATAACGACATGAACGATACTACGGTGGATTGGCAAAGTAGATACAGAAGCAATGCTCAATTTAAGGAACGGTAGAACGAAAGGACATTATTGAAAACTGGAAACATAGATGACTCGCCGAGATGTCAGAGAGAACTGTTTCAGTCTGATTGGATGAAGAATTTGACAACGACAGTTCGATTTACAGTTGTGAATATAAATATGATAAGAAAAACGAGTAGAACTTATCACTAATAATGGCCGAAAGTCGGGGCTTAGGAGCTGAAGCTCGACCCTTCAAGCACAAGTAGGCGTAAATAACAAGGCGAGTAACATACATCGCGGCTGTATCCCTTCAAAACATGTATGTAAACAAATCCACAAGGGCCGTGGCGAGGATTTGAACCTGCGTCCAAGAGCATCCCAGACGTGTGTAATGTATTGTACGTGTATGGTTTCTTGTGTATTAAACGCATTATGCATTTTCACATCCAAGCGACAAAAATTCAAATTTGGTTGACATGACCTTACCAACATTAATCAAAACAGCTTCTGACTTCCTTTGTTTTTTCCACCCCTCCAAGTAGGTGAGTTGCAGTTCCTGATTGCATGAACTCTTGCAATCAATGAAGTACTTACATCAAGGCCGGAGCCGGTCGGCCGAGCGGACAGCACGCTGGACTTGTGATCCTGTGGTCCTGGGTTCGATCCCAGGCGCCGGCGAGAAACATTGGGCAGAGTTTCTTTCACCCTATGCCCCTGTTACCTAGCAGTAAAATAGGTACCTGGGTGTTAGTCAGCTGTCACGGGCTGCTTCCTGGGGGTGGAGGCCTGGTCGAGGACCGGGCCGCGGGGACACTAAAAAGCCCCGAAATCATCTCAAGATAACCTCAAGATAACGGAAGGCTAACTGCATCACACACCTTGTATTCACCGTATATAAAACATTATACCATATATTTTCTTTAGATTAAATTGGATCAGATATGTATATAGAACGTCATGCATAAATATGCACAATATACTAGTATTTAACAATATTCATTTGAGAAAATTCCGATTTTGAATAAACATGTTAAAATTTATGATGGCGTCTTTGGGGGTCGACCGCTGGATGGAATGAACTTAGACTGAGGACGGTGTTGAACTTAGTACCCCCACTTGTAATTAAGCTTGCAACGTGGAACTTTATGCCCGCAAAGGAATTCTAAAGATCGAAGTTCCTTCTTAATGTTAGCAGACTCGGTGTAGAGGTCCGTCAGTGTTCATAGAATGTGTTCAAATGTGAACACATTTGTGTTCAGCAACACAATTGTGGCAATTTGCTTATCAACTGATGTTGACATGTGTGTATGTGTGTGTGTATGTGGGGCTCATACACCCCTCTAGTGTCTGGGATACATCTATACACTCTACAGTCACAAGAATGCATTCATACACTACAATTATACAACTCCACGTATCCTCCAGTCACAGGAATGCATTCATACACCTTTATATACATACTAACAGCATCCATGCAGAAGCCGTATTTCCAGTTTATGACAATGTTATGAAACTGCAGAAAGTGTGTGTGTAATTACCTAAGTGTAGTTACAGGATGAGAGCTACGCTCGTGGTGTCCCGTCTTCCCAGCACTCTTTGTCATATAACGCTTTGAAACTACTGACGGTCTTGGCCTCCACCACCTTCTCACTTAACTTGTTCCAACCGTCTACCACTCTATTTGCGAAGGTGAATTTTCTTATATTTCTTCGGCATCTGTGTGTGTGTGTGTGTGTGTGTGTGTGTGTGTGTGTGTGTGTGTGTGTGTGTGTGTGTGTGTGTGTGTGTGTGTGTGTGTGTGTGTATGTGTGTGTGTGTGTGTGTGTGTGTGTGTGTGTGTGTGTGTGTGTGTGTGTGTGTGTATTTACTATTTGTGTCCTGCAGAATCGAGCCATTAGCTCTTGGACCCCGCCTTTCTAAGCACTCTATTTTCCTCTATTATGTCTACTACATATATTTATCTCTAACACACACACACGCGCGCGCGTGCACACACACATCCCCAGGAAGCAGCCCGTAGCAGCTGACTAATTCCCAGATACCTATTTACTGCTAGGTGAACAAAGCATCAGAGTGGAAGAAACTCTTGCCTATTTGTTTCCGCCTCCGCCGGGAATCGAACCCGGGCCAGTAGGACTATACCCCCAGGCGCTATCCATTCAGGCACGATGCTCCCCCGATGTGTGTGTGTATGTGTATTTGAGTTTGTATGGCTGTGTAAAGAAGCAAAGCGATTGCGTACGTATTTGCGAAGTCTTACATGTGTGTGAATACGATTTTAAGAGCGCCATTGTATGCGATTTCAGATTTTGTTGTTCAAGGAGGAGGCGAAGCCGAGGGCGGCGGCCTAGGGCCTCATCCTCCTCGTCTGCAACATTTCTTGCAACCTGTTGCATTCTGCATTAAATTTCCCGATTCAGGTGTTCGATTTTTTGGGAGTCGTTTCGAGTTGTGGATGAAAATGCCCGCACCGAGCAGGCATTTGAGCTCTGAGCTCTGAGAGCGATGCTTTTTCCAGCTTGGATTCTCCTATTTTCTCTCGGTATAAAGAAACTTATTTTTTTTAACCCCCCTTTTTTTATTTCCTCCCGTAACTTGTATGTCGTAATCATGTCCATACTCTGTTCCTTTTCTGGTCAGAGGTTGTGAGAGTTTCATTAACTAGTTGTGTTGCAAATCTTGGCGAATTGTTGATGTTTTAAGGTTTTCGCAAGATGGGGGATGCCATGCCGGTGCTGGGTATTCTGTTATATGCTTCAGATGGTAGGGATCCAGAGACATAAGTTGAGGTGGAGTAGGAGGGTGGGGGTGTTGGTGGTGTGGTGGAGTAGGAGGGGGGGGGTTGTTGGTGGTGTGGTGGAGTAGGAGGGTGGGGGTGTTGGTGGTGTGGTGGAGTAGGAGGGTGGGGGTGTTGGTGGTGTGGTGGAGTAGGAGGGGGTGTTGGTGCAGGAGTAGGAGGGGGGGGGTGTTGGTGGTGTGGTGGAGTAGGAGGGTGGGGGTGTTGGTGGTGTGGTGGAGTAGGAGGGTGGGGGTGTTGGTGGTGTGGTGGAGTAGGAGGGTGGGGGTGTTGGTGGTGTGGTGGAGTAGGAGGGGGTGTTGGTGCAGGAGTAGGAGGGGGGGGGGTGTTGGTGGTGTGGTGGAGTAGGAGGGGGTGTTGGTGCAGGAGTAGGAGGGGTGTGTTGGAGTAGGAGGGGGGGGGTGTTGGTGGTGTGGTGGAGTAGGAGGGGGTGTTGGTGCAGGAGTAGGAGGGGGTGTGTTGGAGTAGGAGGGGGGGGGTGTTGGTGGTGTGGTGGAGTAGGAGGGGGTGTTGGTGCAGGAGAGGAGGGGGTGTGTTGGAGTAGGAGGGGGGGGTGTTGGTGGTGTGGTGGAGTAGGAGGGGGTGTTGGTGCAGGAGTAGGAGGGGGTGTGTTGGAGTAGGAGGGGGGGGTGTTGGTGGTGTGGTGGAGTAGGAGGGGGTGTTGGTGCAGGAGTAGGAGGGGGTGTGTTGGAGTAGGAAGGGGGGGGGTGTTGGTGGTGTGGTGGAGTAGGAGGGTGGTGTCGGTGGTGGTGGAGGAGTAGGATGAGGAGGAGGTGGTGGTGGTGGAGGAGGCGGTGCAGCTGGCGGCCAGCAGCAGCAGCAGCAGCAGCAGTAGTGGTGTTACCGTCGCTGGAAGCAGCAGACAGGCGTCTCGCTCCCGCGCGTGTCCCCTGTGGCGATCTTGCACTCGCACGCAAGACGCACTTACACTCATCTCCCCCCTTCCCCTTCCCCCCTACATCCCTGATATCGTGCCCCCTGCCCCCCCTACCTCCAAAACTCCGATATCGTAGCCCTTAGCGAGTCCTTCGTTATCCTGTCTTGAACCTCAAGTGCCACTCCAAGGGCTGGTGAGGCCAAGTTAGTGCTCAAGTGCGTGGAGTGAGTGTGTTGTAGCAGTGTCCACTCGGAAGGTCCACGCTCTTGTCCCCCGAAACCCGGTAGGTGTCTGTTGCAACCTTTGCAACCTTTGCAACCTTTGGGTTGACAAGTGGGCCTAAGAAGGCATGGGTGTCTAGGCCGTTGGTATGGGTGTCTAGGGCCGTTGGTATGGGTGTCTAGGGCCGTTGGTATGGGAGTCTGGGCCGTTGGTATGGGAGTCTAGGCCGTTGGTATGGGAGTCTAGGCCGTTGGTATGGGTGTCTAGGCCGTTGGTATGGGTGTCTAGGCCGTTGGTATGGGAGTCTAGGCCGTTGGTATGGGAGTCTAGGCCGTTGGTATGGGTGTCTAGGGCCGTTGGTATGGGTGTCTAGGGCCGTTGGTATGGGTGTCTAGGCCGTTGGTATGGGTGTCTAGGGCCGTTGGTATGGGTGTCTAGGCCGTTGGTATGGGTGTCTAGGGCCGTTGGTATGGGTGTCTAGGGCCGTTGGTATGGGTGTCTAGGGCCGTTGGTATGGGAGTCTGGGCCGTTGGTATGGGAGTCTAGGCCGTTGGTATGGGAGTCTAGGCCGTTGGTATGGGAGTCTAGGGGCGTTGGTATGGGAGTCTAGGCCGTTGGTATGGGAGTCTAGGCCGTTGGAATGGGAGTCTAGGGGCGTTGGTATGGGAGTCTAGGCCGTTGGTATGGGTGTCTAGGGCCGTTGGTATGGGAGTCTAGGCCGTTGGTATGGATGTCTGGGCCGTTGGTATAGGAGTCTAGGCCGTTGGTATGGGTGTCTAGGGCCGTTGGTATGGGTGTCTAGGCCGTTGGTATGGGTGTCTAGGCCGTTGGTATGGGAGTCTAGGCCGTTGGTATGGGAGTCTAGGCCGTTGGTATGGGTGTCTAGGGCCGTTGGTATGGGTGTCTAAGCCGTTGGTATGGGTGTCTAGGCCGTTGGTATGGGAGTCTAGGCCGTTGGTATGGGAGTCTAGGCCGTTGGTATGGGTGTCTAGGGCCGTTGGTATGGGTGTCTAGGCCGTTGGTATGGGTGTCTAGGGCCGTTGGTATGGGAGTCTAGGCCGTTGGTATGGGAGTCTAGGTCGTTGGTATGGGAGTCTAGGCCGTTGGTATGGGAGTCTGGGCCGTTGGTATGGGTGTCTAGGGCCGTTGGTATGGGAGTCTAGGCCGTTGGTATGGGAGTCTAGGCCGTTGGTATGGGAGTCTAGGCCGTTGGTATGGGAGTCTAGGTTGGTATGGGAGTCTGGGCCGTTGGTATGGGTGTCTAGGTCCGTTGGTATGGGAGTCTGGGCCGTTGGTATGGGAGTCTAGGCCGTTGGTATGGGAGTCTGGGCTGTTGGTATGGGAGTCTAGGCCGTTGGTATGGGTGTCTAGGGCCGTTGGTATGGGTGTCTAGGCCGTTGGTATGGGAGTCTAGGGCCTTTGGTATGGGAGTCTAGGCCGTTGGTATGGGTGTCTAGGGCCGTTGGTATGGGTGTCTAGGCCGTTGGTATGGGAGTCTAGGCCGTTGGTATGGGTGTCTAGGCCGTTGGTATGGGTGTCTAGGGCCGTTGGTATGGGTGTCTAGGCCGTTGGTATGGGTGTCTAGGGCCGTTGGTATGGGTGTCTAGGGCCGTTGGTATGGGAGTCTAGGCCGTTGGTATGGGAGTCTAGGCCATTGGTATGGGAGTCTAGGCCATTGGTATGGGAGTCTAGGCCGTTGGTATGGGAGTCTAGGCCGTTGGTATGGGTGTCTAGGCCGTTGGTATGGGTGTCTAGGCCGTTGGTATGGGTGTCTAGGCCGTTGGTATGGGTGTCTAGGCCGTTGGTATGGGAGTCTCGGCCGTTGGTATGGGTGTCTAGGGCGTTGGTATGGGAGTCTAGGCCATTGGTATGGGTGTCTAGGCCGTTGGTATGGGTGTCTAGGGCCGTTGGTATGGGTGTCTAGGGCCGTTGGTATGGGTGTCTAGGCCGTTGGTATGGGTGTCTAGGGCCGTTGGTATGGGTGTCTAGGGCCGTTGGTATGGGAGTCTAGGCCGTTGGTATGGGAGTCTAGGCCGTTGGTATGGGAGTCTAGGCCGTTGGTATGGGAGTCTAGGCCGTTGGTATGGGAGTCTAGGCCGATGGTATGGGAGTCTAGGCCGTTGGTATGGGTGTCTAGGCCGTTGGTATGGGTGTCTAGGGCCGTTGGTATGGGTGTCTAGGCCGTTGGTATGGGTGTCTAGGCCGTTGGTATGGGTGTCTAGGCCGTTGGTATGGGAGTCTCGGCCGTTGGTATGGGTGTCTAGGGCGTTGGTATGGGAGTCTAGGCCGTTGGTATGGGTGTCTAGGCCGTTGGTATGGGTGTCTAGGCCGTTGGTATGGGTGTCTAGGCCGTTGGTATGGGAGTCTAGGCCGTTGGTATGGGAGTCTAGGCCGTTGGTATGGGTGTCTAGGCCGTTGGTATGGGAGTCTAGGCCGTTGGTATGGGAGTCTAGGCCGTTGGTATGGGTGTCTAGGGCCGTTGGTATGGGTGTCTAGGCCGTTGGTATGGGAGTCTAGGCCGTTGGTATGGGAGTCTAGGCCGTTGGTATGGGTGTCTAGGCCGTTGGTATGGGAGTCTAGGCCGTTGGTATGGGAGTCTAGGCCGTTGGTATGGGTGTCTAGGGCCGTTGGTATGGGAGTCTAGGCCGTTGGTATGGGAGTCTAGGCCGTTGGTATGGGTGTCTAGGGCGTTGGTATGGGAGTCTAGGCCGTTGGTATGGGTGTCTAGGCCGTTGGTATGGGTGTCTAGGGCCGTTGGTATGGGTGTCTAGGCCGTTGGTATGGGAGTCTAGGCCGTTGGTATGGGAGTCTAGGCCGTTGGTATGGGAGTCTAGGCCGTTGGTATGGGTGTCTAGGCCGTTGGTATGGGAGTCTAGGCCGTTGGTATGGGAGTCTAGGCCGTTGGTATGGGTGTCTAGGGCCGTTGGTATGGGAGTCTAGGCCGTTGGTATGGGAGTCTAGGCCGTTGGTATGGGTGTCTAGGGCCGTTGGTATGGGAGTCTAGGCCGTTGGTATGGGAGTCTAGGCCGTTGGTATGGGTGTCTAGGGCCGTTGGTATGGGAGTCTAGGCCGTTGACATGGGAGTCTAAGACCGTTGACATGGGAGTCTAAGAGGGGACGTTTGTGTGGGCGAGACGCAACATTCCTGAGACAGTGGACGCGATTGGGTAAAGACTTAGAACTGGCACCAAGGAGTAGGAGGAGGCTGTGATATCTATAAGAGAAGAAGGAAGAGGAATTAGAAGATGGAAAGGAAGAGCAGGAATAGGAGTTAGAAGAAGGAAGAGGGCGTTTAGGAGGAGAAGTGACGCAAGAAACTAAGAAAATGAGGAATTAACAACATCGTTAAAATAAAAGGCGAAAGGAAGAGGAGGAGGAGGTGAGAAAGAAGACATAGGAGGAAAGGAAGGATGCGAAGAGTGCCATTAACGCACAGGAGGAGATGGATGGCAGGACAAGATAAAGAAGGGAATAAGGCAGAAAAAGAGAAGGAAAAAGGTTGAAAATATGTAATTGGGAATAAAAGATTTGAATAAAGAAATGGTATAGGTATGTGTGTGTACTCATCTAGTTATGCTTGCGGGGGTTGAGCTCTGGCTCTTTGGTCCCGCCTCTCAACCGTCAATCAACTGGTGTACAGGTTCCTGAGCCTATTGGGCTCTATCATATCTACACTTGAAACTGTGTATGGAGTCAGCCTCCACCACATCACTTCCTAATGCATTCCATTTGTCAACCACTCTGACACTAAAAAAGTTCTGTTTGAGTGTGTGTGTGTGTGTGTGTGTGTGGTGTGTGTGTGTGTGTGTGTGTGTGTGTGTGTGTGTGTGTGCGTGTGTGTGTGTGTGAGTGTGCGTGTGTGTGTGTGTGTGCGTGTGTGTGTGTGTGTGTGTGTGTGTGTGTGTGTGTGTGTGTCTGGTGAATCAGAAGTATATTATCATCGGGATTTTTCTCCAGCGGCAAATCGCTTCGAAAAGAAGCGATTTGCGTTCTTTTCAAAGTGACTTTCCAACTTTTCGAAACTATTTTCCTACTTGTCTTTTCTTTTGTGCCTCACTGATGCCCCCCCCCCATTACACACACACACACACACACACACACACACACACACACACACCACACACACACACACACACACACACACACACACACACACACAGATTAGATATGATAGAGCCCAGTAGGCTCAAGAATCTGTACACCAGTTGATTGGCAGTTGAAAGGCGGGACCAAAGAACCAGAGCTCAACCTCCACAAGCACAACTAGGTGAGCACACACACACACACACACACACACACACACACACACACACACACGCACACACACACACACACACACACACACACACACACACACACACACACACACGCACACACACACACACACACACACACACACACACACACACACACACCACACGCACACACACACAACACACACACACACGCACACACGCACACGCACACATTTAACAGGCTAGGAAAATGGCCTCTGGAGTTTAATCCCCCACACGTGTACAGTAATGAGGTTTCGGAGGGAGAATATGAGCCCAGTAGGACGGCACTTATTAAGACGAAGGCCATTGCGAGCAAGTGGAGTAAAAGGGCCTGGGAGCGGCCCCGACTAACACCAGAACCACACACATACTCACACATA